GCTGTGGCTGCCATAACAGTACTGATGATGCCACATGCTGTCCTCTATGTCTATGGAGCAGTCAGACTGATACGATGCCTCAAAGAGAGAGCTACTGCGATTGGCACAGGCCGTGGCCTGCTCTATTTCCTCAGCCCTGGTAGCGAGGGAACTCTGTTTACTAGACAACTAATTTTGCACAGAGTATTCTTTTGTGATATGTAGAGCACAAAATTAATTGCTGCACTTCAACTCAAACGGATTATAAATGTTTTGAGATATCACTAAGTACGGTAGTACTTAGTATATAGGGATGGGCATGGTTGTAATTTAGAGGGATAGGCATAATTATTTTCTGGTATGGTCGCAGTCTAGTAAGGCAGACAATTTTTATTGGTCTATTCCTATTGATAACTATCACAGTCAGTAAGTGCTGGGTGTTCATGCTATATTTAATGACGTCATTAGTCGCACAAATCTTAGCGTAATGACAACTTCACATACTCAGACCCTCTTCCATTCATGCAAGAGACTATGGACGTGGTGTTCTATAGTTGAGATATATATATAAGCCAGTGTTGATTAGCATAATCCTGGTTTGTTCACTTGCTACTCACGCCACAACTTTTGAATGCAGTATCACTAAGTACGGTAGTACTTAGTATATAGGGATGGGCATGGTACCTAGCATCATAGATGTATGGGGCTATGATAGGGAGTTTTGTTCATCATCATCATCTTCTTCTTCCTGTTCAACCAGCATAACTCAAAAACCGAAAGAGATAAAGCCATGAAATTTTGTAGGAATGTACATATCGATAACCACGTGTGCAACGTCATACTTTTTGGTTTGTGAACAACAACAAAATTGCCCCAGGAAATACATTATTGGCGAGCGGGAGCGAGCCAACCTAGTCGTCTGTTCAGGCGGAATTTTCTGTATATATATTTTTTATCGTTGGTACGTCGTGTAAATGCACATGCGCGGCTTTGTATGCGCTTCTTTTTATCTGAAACTATTTCCAAATTTTTACACATTTTCACACACGGTGCCTCTCGATAATATGCACCGATCGATCTAGCCAGCGAGAGAACTCTCGTCTATTCGACGGCATGCGCTGCAACCTTCGGTGACTGACCGAGGTTGTATATACCTCTTACTAATCTTCATGGTTCCAAAGTGCAACTTACAAATATGCTAGGATTGCTCGTGCACATACTGCTGCATGCCAGCTCGGGTGGACCACGACTGACGAGCTGAAAGCGTAAGGTAAGTACCGTTCTGCTCACCTGCTCACCGTTCTGCCAATGTACAATACGCATGTAACGGCGGCAGGTAGATCTGTGTTGCTTCGATTATGCAGCCCGAACATCGCGGGCAAATCCCAAGTTGGGTCGCTCCCGCTCGCCAACAATGTTCAACATTTCCACTAGTAATGGACAAAACAGTATAATTGGCATACTACATGTGTCAGTGTAACTCACAATTGGTAAGAGCTACGTGAACGAAAGTTTGTATACATAATGTATTCAATAGCCAACATCAAAATTACAACAATACATGTTTGTAAATAACAACAAATAGCCTCTGGCATTTTCTTTAAATTTACTTCTTCACTTCTCAAACTTTCCAATGGTATATAGCACGCATGAGATGAAACGTGGTACGTATTTATGCCTATTATATCATTTCCATGACGATTACATGTTTCCATGACGACCGCACATTGTTTGACAAAGCCTCAGGCAATTTTATTTAAAACTACTATCAATCTTGCTAACTGTAGCACGCATGGAGGTGAAACTTGGCGCACATGTGTATAGCATCGTTTCCATTACAAAATAGCCTCAGGCACTTTTGTTTAAAATTACTTCTTCACTCCTCAAACTTGCTAACTGTAGCACGCATGGAGGTGAACTTAGTATGTATGCCTATTATAGCATTTTCATGATGATTACATGTTTCTATGACGACCGCATATTTTTTTCAAAAAGCCTCAGACAATTTTCTTTAAAACTACTTCTTCACTCCTCAAACTGTAGGACTTATGGAGGTAAAACTTGGTGCACATATGTATTACGTCGTTTCCATGACAACAAACAGCCTCTGGCACCTTTCTTTAAAAATACTTCTTAATTAACAGATTTCCGCACACTGACACCCACAACCCCATCACACAATCCCTGTACTATTGTTGCCTAGGTGAAGTATTAAACATTCACCCTTACAATACTCAGAAACTTATGATGCTACTAAGTAACCAACACCGTTATAGGGTCCAAGTGGAGTTTATTTAAAGGGACTGGCAGTATAAAAGTAGAAATGTTACTAAAAACAACGGGGACGGTGAAAGAATGCTTGCTTTTAGTAACTTTTAATGCCACATTCCTTCTAAGAGTAGCACACCAGGCAACAATATAGGGATTGTGTGATGGGGCGTGCTCAAATCTGTTCATTAACCATGCTTCATGTATCCCATCCCTATCTTGTCTCCCTTTATTTTTATACCATCCCTATAATTATGCCTCTTTTTTTAAATTCGCAGGATTTTTCATTTACTTGTACTCTGTTTGTTTGGTATAAGTATGTGTCAAAATTAGTTGACTTAACTGAACAAAATTACAGATGGATCGCAGACTTTGTTTTTTTTGTTTGAAGTAGCCTGATAGTATTCCTTTATGCTCTGTGCAGCTACATAATTGTGACGGATGCCATGATATTTTCAGCTACGTATGTTGACCATGTAGTTCATAAAACCCAGGGCTATTGAGCAGTATTCCTTGTGGACTGAGAGAATTTTGGTACACCTTTGCTTTAAAGACATTTTAACTTTTTGAGAGATGTTGTGTATACCTTGCACTTCAATTTATACGTACGTACATACGTATGTGATGGTGATGCATTTGACAACATGTTGGGTTTTGTGTACCTGCATATTATGGAAAGTCTAACATGGTATGCAGCTGGATGCGGGGTTTGAATGGCCACAATTTTGAATGTAGAAGACATCATGTTATGCTGAATTGTGCAATACCCTGCTTTCCCTGGTGTTAGAGTTTGTTGTTCTTTCGAATGGAATGTACATTGTGCTCAACAGAGACACAGCATGTATTTTTATATTTATTGCCGAGCGCGTTAGCGTGAGGCAACTACTCTGGGTTGTATTCTCACGATATGCGTACGTATGTACGTGTCGTCACGCTTAAGAATGTCAATTAGTCACGCTTAGGAATGTCAACTTCCGTCATTCGTAGGAAGTCTAGCTTCCGCCGTGCGCGCAGGTTCGTAGGAAGTCTTCGCGCGCAGTCAGTAGAGCGCGTGCACGAGCGGCATCAGTCGGACTGTTTACGCATTGGCTGGCAGGCGCGAGGCAAAATATGCGCGTGCGCATTCCTAGTAATCTATTAATTAGGGGCATACCCAGTGATATCCCTTGCTAGGTTATGCAGTGTTAGTGTGAAGAGCTTATGTAAACGTTATTTTAAACGCAGTTCTCCTGTGTGTATTCTGTGGTGTACTTGATCCACCGTCACAAAACAATAGAAGGTTGGATAAGTTGGGCAAGGCATATTTGTGAATTCTTTGCCCATTTTCACTTCTTCACATTGACATGGAAGTTCTGCGGCAAGTAGAAAATGGGCCTGCCTCAATCAGTTAACACCATTGAACTCAAATACCTAGTCACTTGATGACGTACCAAACATTATGTAATTTCCTACTATCCATGCTCCTAAAAGCTCCACTGTTGGTTTTTGTCACAAATCTTTGTTGCTTTACCAGCAGTGCCTTTGTTCATACATGCATCAGAAAGAACTACAACACAGACTACATGTCAGTCTATCACTTATTTAAAATAGTTAATAGCCAATTTTAGTGTTCTGTTCTGGAGGTTTTTCCTCATTCTGCAAGTAGGGTGCAGCAAGGTCGATGGTTGTAGCAACGGTTCTCAGTGCCACAGGCTGTCTGAACGGGCTGCACGCGATCATTTCTTTTTATCTTTTGCTATTGTCTCAGATTCAATTTCCACGAGTGTCCACAGCATGAATGGCGAGATCCACGAAACAGTTTCGTCTATTGATGCAATGGTTGTACCGTTCAGTCGCAGTCACTTCCCAGTCGTGTCCTCTCGGCTCTCATTCTCTTCTTTATTCTGTTGCCACCTACACTTCTGTTACTGTTCTATCCCACTGCTTGCTTTCGAAGACTAACCAAGCGTCTGAAACCAAGGCGGGCTCTTGCAATGAAAATATTCATATGGAAGTTACAAGAGTGGACTCAACGGAACAGAAGATTACCGTTCAGTCGCTGGCTTTGTTTTCATTGCTATGATAGCACTCACAGCACTAAACGTCATAGTTTACGGAGTATTTTTACCTCATATATCCTGGCCTGTGATGTTATTCCCTCTGGCAGTAGGTATGGCTATAGCATGTCTGGTATTTCAGCCACACCAAGAGAGAGCAGCCAATGTTTCTGGAACACTTCTTCTCCTTAACCTCACGGCTGCAGCTGCTATAGCTACCGTTCTAGATGTCTATGCCTACTCACAAACAATGGCTGCAGCTGCCATAGCAGTACTGATGATGCCACATGCTGTCCTCTATGTCTATGGAGCAGTCAGACTGATACCATGCCTCAAAGAGAGAGCTGCTGCGATTGGCCCAGGCAGTGGCCTCAGCCCTGGTACGGGGGGAACTGTGTTACTAGACAAGTATAAACGTATAAGTTTGTACTGAGTGTTCTTTTGTGATACGTAGAGCACAAAATTAATTGCTGCACTTCAACTCAAGCGGATTTTTTGAGATGTTTGGTGTAAGTATGTGTCAAAATGAGTCACTGAAGGCACTCTATGATCCCAGCTGTCTCGAAGCCTCTAACTAAAGAGGCAGTTTGTGACTGTAGAGTTGTTATCAACCAGTTTCCATGCAAAGGCTTGATGAGAGACCTCTTTAGATCAATCTTCACCTTATCCAGGCTTGCACCTTGGTCTAGCGCAGTCTTGATTTTGTCTGCATACCACCTACTGAAGTGTTCCTTCATTACAGCTTTAAACTCATCATTCACAGAGAGATCAAGTGGCTGCAGTTCGCAAGTGCATGAAGCAAGGACAGATATCTGATGAATGTGATATGCACTCAACTTTTGGAGCACTGAGCTGCAGCAAATACATCAAAAACAGATAGGCACACTTGGTCTTGTGGTCGCTCTAGTTCTCTCCGAGCTGGTGAAAAGTGACAACATGATCTATCTATTGAAGCATTGTTTCCTCCGTACTCCAATGGTCTAACAGGCACCAACTTTGACTCTGTCTGGTCCCAATTGACGACCAATTTTGGAGGAATAGCATGTTGCTCGACTTCCTCCCGAATACTCTGTAAAAAGGCAGATTTAAGATCTTAAAGCGGTAGTTTTCGTGCTGCCTTGGTTGCCTTTCTCTTAACATATCCACAGCGTCTTAGGAAAGACTCTGCCCATTTCACACCAATCTGTATATGCCCACCATGTTCCTGGAGCTGAGAGGGATTGCTGTGGCGACTATTCCCTTCCTGCCTGCACAATAGAGCAATTGACAATACCACCCGCCAAATGTAAGGCTTGTATGTACTCCACAATTTTAGTATCTAGCTCCTCTCCGAGTAATAACAGTCGGCTGAGGCTAGCGTGAGGCAAACTAACAACCTCGTCAGAGTCCGGTACACTCTTCAGCACATGCAGGTACGCCTTTTTCATGTTCCTCACGCTGCTTTCAGAAACACTATGGCCGAGTTCTTGCGTGAATCTTAGTGCAGCTGACTTGTTACCGTGCTGACACGCATGTTTTGCTATCTTAGCCTGTACTTCAGGATCATAGTCATGGTACCTGCCCAGTTTTCGGCATTTTCCTTCGACACCTGTTGCACACTATCATTGGCAGCTGAAGTGCACAGATCTGCTGGACTTGGAAACAACGGAGGTGATTCTTTTGATTCCAGCCTTCTTAAGCCAGCCATACAAGGACGCCATTGCAACCACGCGGTAGTATACTGCGCATGCACATTAGGGTTTATATTGGCGTCCACAAAAATTAGTGATTACTAGGAATGCGCACGCGCATATTTTGCCTCGCGCCTGCCAGCCAATGCGTAAACACTCCGACTGAGACCGCTCGTGCGCGCGCTCTACTGACTGCGCGCGAAGCCAGATTTCCTACGAATCTGCGCGCACGGCGGAAGCTAGACTTCCTACAAATGACGGAAGTGACATTCCTAAGCGTGACGACACGTACGTACGTACGCATATCGCGAGAATACAACCCGGAGTAGTTGCCTCACGCTAACGCACCTAATATTGCTAACATTAATGGCACGCTAAAATTAATGGTTTTACAGTACTTTCCCACACATGATTTCAAGACCAGCTGTACTATGTTACAGTACATAATGTAGTGTCCAAAAGGAGGGGACACCATGCTGATTCTGAAGGTTATGATGACTACTAAGGATATGAGAGTAATTGGAACGTACTGCAGCATAATGTATGTAGTAAGACTATATTTATCGAGGGACATGTAGCACAATGAATACACAGATGGTCCAGTGTACCATTTCTACATCTTCCACAGAATAAATCCCCCACTTGTTGTTCAACATGACTACATGTAAAGTTGTTTAGGTCAGTGAGGTTTTGAGGTAGGTGAATGAGTCCGTTTTTGACAAGATGAGGTGGAAATACATGTGGGCAGTATGCCGCCACGGTTTCATTCGTACAAATGTCATGGTAAGCACAGTGTCCCACTTTGACATATGAAGCACCTTCTCTCTGATTGCACATCACCACTGACTCCATTGCACTGCTGCACACACACTGAGGGTAGGCTGATGAACCTTCAGTGAACCAAGGTGGACATGTCCCTCCACTGACAGACATTCTCACTGGCATTAGAAACAGAATGAAAAGGTAGTGGACCTCCATAGTGGTCTACACTACCTGACGACAATATACGTCAGATGCTATACTGGGCATGAACACTGAAAATCATTCAGCTTTTGTTTTGCTTTTCAAGTACAGCCTCTGTTTGATGTTCATGTGACCACATACGTAATTTGCTCAGAAAAGTTGTGGGTAGTAAACTTGTGACGACTATCCAATGTGTAACACGTATGTGCATAATAGAAGGTCGCAGATGACTGTAAGCCTGGCACAGCCTCATCTTATCGCGTATCGCCACTCTGACATCATGAGCCATGTTTTACATGGCATTGTAGAAATGTAAACCTACAGTTAGAAAATTACATTGTAAATTCTGCAGCACTTACCTTCTTTACATTTGAACATAGTGCAAGGGTCTCGTATCCCCACAAATATTCTCTCTACCATACTCTGACTTCTGCCGCTTTTTGCATCCAAATAAGGAGAACTACTCTATGTTAGTGACCTCTTACTCTCTGCTGCGTTGTAACCACGGAAGTGAGGGACTGCTCGTCATCTGGCTCCTGGCCTCCTGCTCATGGTTCAACTGTAAAAGTACAAACATGTGTGTTCGGGATGTATTGCACAAGCTGTGCGTTCACCTCGTCCTGTGTGGGTGTGGAGGCGTGTTGTCGAAACAGGATGAAAAGGCCATGGAACGTCTTACTACCGCACTTATGGAAAGAAAAGCCACATGGTGTCGAGTTGTATATTGTGCTTTTTCCCTATCAGTTGAAAAGAGGGTTTAGCTTTTCCAACTTCTCTAACCTGATCTGTTTTCAAAAACATGTTTTTCCTCCACGGGCTCCGACGGGGAAGTTTATGGAATTTTAGAAAAAGGGGATACGTATATGCTTTACTGTTTTATGACAGTGGGTCCCAAATACGCAGTGGCTTAGGCAAAACACTCCAACACATCTGGTGTGGGTACAAGTTCTGTACAAGTGAGTGAAGCGTGCAAGTGGCTCCGATAGCTTTCTTCACCAGATTACTAAATCTGTGCATCTCGCTCTAGATCTCACTCCTGGTGGAACTGACAGAATAGTGATGAGTGTATAAGCCATGTTCTGAATGAAAGTGAAATGCTCTAGCAACTGTTTCTGAAAATTCTCAACATCATTTCCTGAATTCCACAGCACCAATTATTGTCATCCTATATGTTCACTGACTGGGACCTGTCTACCGATTAGTGCGTGCCAGAGTTTGGAAATGGGAGCATACAATATTTTAGGTTGCGTGATATTGTTTGTGTTGGTGAGAGCAATACCTCCTGAGTGTCCCCCATGGTTCAATCAGGTCAGCGAGACCAGCCAAGAGTTTCCGTTGTGTGTTTGTAGCAGTGCGGTCAACTCCATCATTGACTGCAACCAGAGGGAAAGAACATCCTACGTGAAGGTTGGACACTGTGCTTATCAGTATCTGAACCAAACTGTAGCCGCCAACTCTCCGTATGTGTTTCCCCATCATCTGATTCGTGCTGGATTCATTCGTCTGCCTCGGAATCTCTCAGATCTCAACAGTTTCACTTGTGGTCATCTCCACCGGGAACAAGGAACTCTTTTCTGTGGTAGGTGTACTAATGGCACCGGGCCATCAATATACTCTTTTGGGAGCCAGTGTGCTTCATGCAGCGTTTTCAACGAACCTACTCTATTACATCTTACTTCTGTATGTCCCAATCACTGTCATATTCCTTGCCGTACTATGGTCCAGATGCAGCATCGTCTCCCCGCCAATGGCACACTTTGTCCTGTACTGCAATATGACGCAGGTAGCCTTAAAAACAAACCTAGGACAGTATTATCTGTTTGCTGGCACTCGCACACTTCCAGTGAAATTGTTATTGACTCTGAACTCACTTTGGACACTGGATCCTTTTATTTTTCTTTCTCCTCCACTGTCCATATCAGAAAGAGTTCATGAGATCAATATTCCCATTTTTGACACTTTATCTGCTCTCTACCCATTTATTCTCTTGCTGATAACATACATCTCAATTGAGCTCTATGCCAAGGATTGCAAACTGATTGTCTTCCTTTGGAAACTGAGTAGATGCAAAATATTCCTTAATCGTTGGAACCACAATAAATCCCTGATACAAGCATTTGCGACGCTTTTCTTTTTATCTTTTGTGAAATTTTTCGCCATTGTCTTAGATTCGATGAATCCCACGAGTGTCCACAACATGAACGGCGAGATCCATGAAATAGTTTCGTTTAATGATCCAATGGTTGTACCGTTCAGTCACTTACCAGTCGTGTTCCTCTCGGCTGTCATTCTCTTCTTTATTCTGTTGCCACCTACACTTCTGTTACTGTTCTATCCCACTGCTTGCTTTCGAAGACTAAGTAAGCGTCTAAAACCAAGGCGGGCTCTGACATTGAAAATATTCACTGATGTTTTTTATGGAAGTTACAAGAGTGGACTCAACGGAACAAAAGATTACCGTTCAGTCGCTGGCTTTGTTTTCATTGCTTGGATAGCACTCACAGCACTGAACGTCATACATTACGTTTTATTTTCACCTCGTGTATCCTGGTCTGTGATGTTTTTCCCTCTGGCAGTAGGTATGGCTATAGCGTGTCTGGTGTTTCAGCCACACCAAGAGAGAGCAGCCAATGTTTCTGGAACACTTCTTCTCCTTAACATCACGGCTGCAGCTGCAATAACTACCGTTCTAAATGTCTATGCCTACTCACAAACAATGGCTGTGGCTGCCATAATAGTGCTGATGATGCCACATGCTGTTCTCTATGTCTATGGAGCAGTCAGACTGATACGATGCCTCAAAGAGAGAGCTATTGCGATTGGCACAGGCTGTGGACTGCTCTATTTCCTCAGCCCTGGTAGCGGGGGAACTCTGTTACTAGACAACTAACAATGTTTTGCACAGAGTATTCTTTTGTGATACAGCGAGCATAAAATTAATTGCTGCACTTCAAGTGCAACGGATTTTTAAGTTTTTGATATATACTATGTTTGTTTAGTATAAGTATGTGTCAACTTAACTCTTTTGGCGCGCGCGCGGTTACGTAATTATTCTTGGAATTATACGGTAGGCGAGGCTGTCGCGTTTATAATAGTAAAGCCCAACCCCCTGCCTCTCGTGCATGCCCAGCCGAACCATCCTAGCTCTTCGAGGATCGGGGAGGTTGGGCTAGGCATTAGCTCCACCTCAGTTGTGATCGATGGCTAGTGATTCGCGTGTTCGGTCTCGGAAGAGAATCTACTGTCCCCACTGCGAAGATGGCGTCAGTCATGCCACGTATTATCGCCATCGGGAACGCTTTTATGACCGTCAGAACGGTCAGTGGACCAGCAATCGACACGCAGATCCTCGAAGAGCTAGGATGGTTCGGCTGGGCATGCACGAGAGGCAGGGGGTTGGGCTTTACTATTATAAACGCGACAGCCTCGCCTACCGAATTAAGGGCCAAGGTTTTATAAACACCTTCACTTTACTCTTTTCTACAACGAATATAATTAATCATGGTATGCATATCATTTCCATGATGACAACAGTTAATTTTTTATAGGGGCTTGCCCCATTCCACAGAGATAATACGTAGTAGTATATAAAAATGAGTGGGCCAAGAGAGTTAACGGAACAAAATTAGTGATGGATCGCAGACTTTGTTTTTGTTTGAAGTAGCCTGATAGTATTTCTTTATGTTCTGTGCACGTACATTAATTGTCACGGATGCCATGATATTTTCAGCTACGTATGTTGACCATGTAGTTAATAAAACCCAGGGCTATTGAGCAGTATTGCATGTGGACTGAGAGAATTTTTGTACACCTTTGTTTTAAAGACATTTTATCTTTTAGAGAGATGTTGTGTGTGCTGAGTTAGAGTTTGTTGTTCTTGCGAATGGAATGTACGTACATTGTGCACTGGTGACACAACATGTAATTATATATTCATAATGTATTATTTAGGGGCATACCCAGGGATATCCCTTGCTAAGTTATGCAGTATTAGTGTGAAGAGCTTATATATTATTATGTAAATGTTAATTTAAACGCAGTTTTTCTGTTTGTATTCTGTGGTGTACTTGGTTGGAGAAGTTGGGCAAGGCATATTTGTGAATTCTTTGCCCATTTTCACTTCTTCACATTGACGTGGAAGTTCTTCGGCAAGTGGAAAAGACCTGCCTCGATCAGTTAACACCATTGAACTCAGATACATACCTGGTCTCTTGATGGCGGACCAAAATTATGTCATTTCCTACTGGATGAACTCCATCCATGCTCCTAGAATCTCAACTGTTATCTTCATGCATGTTTTTTTTGTCAAACACTCTTTGTTTTGCTTTACCAGCAGTGCCGGAAAAGTTTGTTCATACATGTATCAGAAAGAACTACAATACAGACTGTCAATCTACCACTTAATTAAAATAGTTGATGGCCAATTTTAGTGTTCTGTTCAGAGGTTTTTCCTCATTCTGCAAGTAGGGTGCAGCAAGATCGATGGTTGTAGCAACGGTTCTGAGTGCCACAGAGTGTCTGAACGGGCTGCACACGATCATTTGGAGTGGAACAACATGGCACATCACATGTCTGTAGGATTCATGATCAGACATGCTTACTAACTGTGATATTTTGACCATACTTCGTCATTGGCTCCTTGTGGACCACCTCTGGTCCACTGCTGCTCATAATCTATCTCTTCATCTTCACTTGAACTTGCACTCTATGAATCAAGTGTTTACAAGTGCATAATATAACCGACTGGAAGCTACAGTCTTATAACTTACTTTGTCAAACGACAGCTGACGTTGGTCCCTCAGAAACTGTGTAGATGTAATACAAATTTTGCCTTGTTGACCATGCGACCATTGCACTAATAATAACCTGCTCCTCTCTCTTGTAAGACATCCTGGCTTCTTTGTGAACACTGTGCTATCAGTCTATAGTCTACGAACAGTGAGATACACACTATCTGACTTTCTGGACTACTTTCTTCTGTATTACTGCCTGCAATCTACTTCTGTATTACTGCATGCAATACTTCTCTTGTTGAACTCACTTTTCTATCTCTTGAGGTGACAATACCTTCCTTGCAACTACTAAAACCTCCGTTCTTAATTTATAGAGAATGATGATGTAACTGTTGTTGCATATATGGCATGTGACGTACAGTGCGTGACATACGTACAAAGTGCTTACTGTCTTGCAGATTGTGCAATACATTGGCACGTACGTATACAAGTGTCCAAAATGTTGAAACTCGAGTAATGCGGTGCTGATCTGGCAGCAGAGTGAAAGTGTGTTTACTGTTTATGTTCATGATGTCGCTCTCGGTTGTAGGGAAATATCCAGGGATATCCCCTTATGAATAATGCAGTGTCGGCGTTAAACACAACTTGTACGCCATGTTATCGAAGCAGCCTCCTAGAGGCTGGGCAATATGTGGCTGACAAGGTCCTTTGTGTGAAGTACACAGGGCATTTGGCATGTTGGCATTACTCTTATGCTCTGTTCTTGTCTTCTTCTTTGATGGGTTCATGAAGGAGACTAATATAGAACATATGTCTTCATCAGAACCATACAGATTTATAGGCTGTAATCGACCATGTACATTGAGACCCTGTGATCACTGGGGTTTATTACCTGGTCCGTCTCTCTCCTGAGTCTACAAAACAATCCCAGACATGTTCCTCCTCTAGCCTACAGTTGTTGTTTGTAACTTGCACCTGTTTTCCCTGGGTGTTAGATTTTGTTTGTTCTTTCGAATGGAATGTACATTGTGCAATACCAATGGCGAAATAGTGTATTAATTAGGGGCATACCCAGGTATATCCCTTGCTAAGTTATGCAGTGTTAAGTGTGAAGAGCTTATGTAAACGTTGGCAAAGAACTTCCATGTCAATGTAAAGAAGTGAAAATGGGCAAAGAATTCACAAATTATGCCCTTGCCCCACTAGATGAACTCCATCAATTCTCCTAAGAGCTCCACTGTTATATTCATGTGTGGTGTTCGTCTCTATTTAAACAAACTGCTTTACCAGCAGTGCCGGGGAAGTTTGTTCAGAAATAACTACAATACAGACTACATGTCAATCTACCCCTTAATTAATAGCCAATTCAAGCATTGTGTTCGGGATAAGTTTTAGTCCTCATTCGGCAGAGAGGGTGCAGGAAGATCGATGGTTGTAGCAACGGTACTCAGTGCCACTGCATGTCTGAACGGGCTGCACGCGATCGTTTGGAGTCGTACAGCCTGGCACCTCACAAGTCTGTAAGACTTGTCATCAGACATACTTATGGAATTTTTATGATACATACGTTGTTGGCTCCTTGTGGACCACCTCTGGTCCACTGCTGCTCATAATCTATCTCTTCATCTTCACTTGAACTTGCACTCTATGAATCAAGTGTTTACAAGTGCATAATATAACTGACTGGAAGCTACAGTCTTATAACTTACGTTGTCAAACGACAGCTGGCGTTGGTCCCTCAGAAACTGTGTAGATGTAATACAAATTTTGCCTTGTTGACCATGCCACCATTACTAATAATAACCTGCTCCTCTCTCTTGTAAGACATCCTGGCTTCTTTGCAGACACTGTGCTATCAGTCTATAGTCTACGAACAATAAGATGCACTATCTGACTTTGTGGACTACTTTCTGTGTTACTGCCTGCAATCTACTTTTGTGTTACTGCCTGCAATACTTCTCTTGTTGAACTCACTTTTCTATCTCTTGAGGTGACAATATCTTCCTTGCAACTACTAAAACCTCCGTTCTTAATTTATAGAGAATGATGATGTAACTGTTGTTGCATATATGGCATGTAATTTGACGTGCAGTGACGTACATACGAAGTGCATACTGTCTTGGGGATTGTGCAATACATTGGCACGTATGTAAGTGTCGAAAATGTTGAGACTCGAGTAATGCTGTGCTGATCTGGCAGCATAGTAAAGTATTAGGTAATGTTTATGTTAATGACGTCTTTCCCAGCTCTAGGGGAATATCCAGGGGTGTCCCCATTATGAATAATGCAGTGTCAGCCTTAAACTCAACTTGTATACAATGTTACTCCTAAAGGCTGGGCAATTTTGGGGCACAGAGAACACTTGGCATTGGAGCATACTTGCTCTCTTCTTGTCTTTCCACTGATCAATTTTGAGGGGTTCTTGTACGTAGGAGACCATTGCTCAGCTACCTGGAGCGCAGTGCTTGTGGTTCTGAGCTAATGAGATTCATCCCCAGAAGGCTTTGCCACTGGTATGTGCTGCTGCAGACATTCGTGGTTTGAAGCCTAGGCCCCTCCCCACTCCTGCCGGTCAAGGTCAGCACCGAGCCAAAACAATACAGCATCACCTCTTACTTCAAAACGATAGAGTAATCATCATGTACTTTGAGACCCTGTGATCACTGGAGGTTTGTTACCTGGTCCTTCTCTCTCCTGAGTCCACAAAACAATGCCAAACGTGTTACTCCTCTAGCCTACAGTTGTTGTTTTGTCTTCAAAAGAACTTGCACTCTGATGTAAAACTCTTTAGAACTTGCACTCTGATATCAAACTCTAGGTATCTTTATATCGTGGACTCTGGTATCCCTCTCATACGTAGATAGGCACAAGGCCATTGGCTGTTGTTAGACGACAGCAGTTATTATGATGAATACAATATTGTGTCAACCTGCTCTTCTTTCTTGTATAACGTTCTCGAATTTGTAGTACCAGGAATAATTGTACTTTGTCACAATTTATTGGCTTTTACTTGAACGAAGGCATCATACTAGTTTCTGCTCGGCTCAGAAAATTCCCTCGTTGGACTCACTTTTTGAGTCTTGTGACGATTTTCCTGAAACCTCTGTTCAATATATTATAGTAAATAATCTTGTATTTCATTGTATGATACATGCAGTGTATACATGATGTACAATTTTGCATTCGTTTGCTGTGGTGTGACAATTGTGCAATACTCCAGTTGTGCCTATAGTGCCTATAGCCAGCAGTAGCCCCAAATGCATCACAGTAAAGATGATATCAATATAAAAATGGCGCTGAATCTACTAAAGTAGTTTTATAAACTAACAGTAAGTAATGAAAGATGACACATAAATATGAAACGACGCTGCAACTTACTGAAGTCTGCAAAAAGAAACTACAAAACCAGATTGATTGCATATTTCATTCGGGGAAGTATGCATAGTAACAGTATGCCTACTACAAGGAAGATAAAAGCTCAATTACTACAGAAGAGAGCAAAAGGCCCTTTAGTGTAGTATCATCCCATAGTGACTGGAAACCACCGTAGTAGGAGAGCTGTGCTGAACCTGAGGGTTTTGACTGTGTCAGATGAGACTTGGCTGCGTCCAAGAACGCCAGGAACGTACAATCTGGTGGGTCCCACACTATCCTGGAGATTTAATCGTTGGCGCTGCGGTTCATCCTTACTACAAAATTACACGCACAAAGGAGCATGAGGGCCAGGCTGTAGTACACAGGTGCTGTAGCAAACGCGGCAAAAATAGATTTGCAGTCGCGTTTCTGGCAGGAGGAGGTGGCGTGGTGCATGCCCACACTCCAGGGATTACCATGGCTACAAGATCGGTACAGGATAGCGGCGGAGAAGGAATGCGGTCAGGAGGGAGATGGACCGGCGAAGAGGTGGGCAGATAGGGAGAAAGAGGCAGGGGAACTTGTTCCTCTACATCGCTACTATGAGCGCGGGCAGGGCAAGGCGTGACCAGGCTGCATACTCTGTTGCTTTGACAGCAGCCACCGCCGCTTAAATCCGGGTACATTATACCTGTATGTACATATGTAAATTTAGCAGCTGCAAAATTTGCTTTGAAAAGAGCGAACAGGGGTGCAGATGTTAACAGTGGAACTTATAAGCCCTTTCAACAACCAACAATGCACCTCAGATAGTCACTTATGTACTCTGTACTACATGAAGACAGCCTGTGGTAAATCCACTGTATACGCTGTGATGCAACCGTCACACCAGATCACTGTGGCCAAGGCTGCTACACGTTTACAAGAGGTGGAACAAATCCTACAGGACATTAACAGCACTTTTACAAACAATCCACACCGTTCTTACAGCATGTACATTTCATTTACAAGTGCATTACAAACCATGAAGGACCGGTACAATAGACGGTTGTCTACCACTTGTAGTTCTGTACATGTAGTTCTGTACTATATATACATGCCTAAAGCCACACGCCATAACATCTCGCTAACTCACAAACCCACACAATAATGTATGGTGAAGCCCTTATGCTTGCATAGTTTGCCTGCTAAAAATACCTCCACTGAAGGCATCCCAGATTGTGTGATATTTCGCTTGCAAACATCTGCATAGCGCAGTTGGCAGAAAAACAAGAAAAATTAATTTACGTCCAATTCCCCTAAATTGGAATTTACAAACATTGCCACGGCAATAAATCAATGTTTGCAAAGCTACCAATCAACGTGCAAGTATTTACAAGTGGACGCCACTGATTGTGTAGGCCAACGAACACACGTACACTTCTAGACCCACTTGTTAGTGCAGAATGTAGTACGCATACCACGGAAGAGTGTATAGGGCCACGATACTTAAGTTCATACTGGGGAGGGTGTCTAACTGGGACAGAGTTTGTCACGGGGCAGTGTCCACTCGGATTCTGCAATCCTACCACTACACTGAAACTAGCTATTGGTGCCCGTGTGATGCTAACAGCTAATGTTGATGTGTCAGATGGTCTAGTGAATGGTGCTAGAGGTGAATGATCCATGTAGTTACCAACAATAACAATGTAGGGCTAGGGCTTAGGGCCTCGATACTTATGTTCCCTAAGCCATGCTACGTAGTGAGGCATTACGGCATGTACATGTATGCATGTACACATGTTGTTTGTCACGGACTCGTAGAGGAGGGGCATTAATGTAGCCCAGTCGAGTGATGCAGTGCTGATCTAGCAACAGAGTAAAGTGTATTTACTATTCTGTAATGTTTATATTCATGACGTCTGTCAGCTGCAGGGAAGTACCCAGGGGAATTCAAATATGAACTGTTACTTCTTACGTGTTTGTCGGTAGAAAGGCAAAGGCACAACAAACAAATCAACTACCCCCAGGACAGCTCTTTTTTTCCAATGATAAAAGAAGAGCTGCCCTGGTTAGATTCGAACCCACAACACTCTGCAGTCTAGGCAAGCACTCTACCACCAACTCAGCTGGTAGGAGTTTGAATCTACAACACAATACAACACAAGGCAAAATCTCAAACCACTGTGCTTTGGCACAGTATACTTTTTTCTCTCACATGAATTAATGGTATTTTACTCTTTCTATCTCTGTATGTTTCCTATTCCATGATATAACATTTGTTTGTATATTGTTTACACAGGCTACCACATTGTCGGTTCTCACTCTGGAGTGAAGATGTGTCGTTGGACTAAGAGCATGCTGCGTGGTCGAGGAGGATGCTACAAACACACATTCTACGGCATAGAGAGTCACCGCTGCATGGAGACCACACCCAGCCTTGCATGTGCCAACAAGTGTGTCTTCTGCTGGAGGTCAGCATATCAAATTACCTCTCTGAGCTCACAGTTACCTGGCATTTAAAACAACCTCTGTACTGCATGTGCTGCATTGCCATAGAAGTAGTTGCTGAAGCATTACAAGTGACCCAACGGGATTGGATAATATGCAGTAAAAAATCCATCTCTGATTTAATTGCATCAATCTTGGTAGAGGGCATGAGGTGTGTGCCATGGATAATTTCCTGGCATTTTTTCAAGTGCATCTTTACATGTTCACATTGTTTTATGTACGTTGCTCGTGCATGTGAGAGTGACAATTTTTATAGAATGAATCAAGCGCATAATGACTATGTTTGTAAGTTTCGATTTTTCATTAGAGAGGGAAGCTACTACTCCATTTTATTAACCCTCGGCACGCATGCACAGAGAGGGTTACTGTAGTTGTCATCGCGTGTGTCTGTCTATTACTCGACATCTCACTTCACGAGTCATGATTCACTCCACAAACAATACCACGTATTCAGCGTCGGGTATAGGTCAAAAAGTATGTGGGGTTTTGTCTGCTGAAACTGCTTCGAGAGCCAATATGCTAATTATGTATAACAGGCCTGGGTCCGCTTGTTCTGTGTATGTTGAAGGCACAAGAAGTCACAACGAAGGGCATGTATTGACTCCGGCATGCTACACCTACTGCTGTAGCAGCCTAAGTCAGGCTCTACTAGTGGGAAATCACTAGTAAATGCATACTCATAGCCCAGCCCATCAATTAGCAGTACCAAACATGCGCAGTTCGCCGAGGGTTTGCATTTTAGTGCTTTTTAATTTAACTATACATGTTTTTGTGTGTGTTTTTTGTGTTTTTGTCCACCCAACAACATAACACTCCTCCTATGTAATGTATACCTCCCTCTCTCCCAGGCACCACTCTAATCCAGTCGGTACAGAGTGGAAGTGGAAGATGGATGATCCTCACATGATAGTGGAGGGTGCTCTAGAGAACCATTACAAGATGATCAAACAGTTCAAAGGTCAATCGCTAATAGTGCACGCATTGACTTAATCGGCTGATATTTTACTATAGTGCCTTATTCATAGATGTGCATCATACAAGGGAGCACACTAGTGAACCTAGTGAACATGATGCAGTAGTACAATGGATGATGGCTACATACTTTGAACTGACGTCGCATGCTCGTGTAAAATTTCCCCCATACAAGCCCTATATTGTTGCGAAGTACTGAGTGTGCTCCCTTGTATGATGCACATCTATGAATAAGGCACATAATACCATCTACTCGGTTTTCTGTTGTTGACTGCATTGTGTGAAGTCTATGACTTCTACATTTGCTCAACTAACCAGTTTTACAATGCTGTGTTCATGGCCATCTACATACAGAATCCTTTCACCATTGTCCTCGCACGTCACTAAACAAACAGTAAAGGTGTCGACAATATAGGGCTTGTGTGGAGGAAATTTTACACGAGCAAGCAATGTCAGTTCACAGTATGTAGCCATCATCCATTGTACTACTGCATCACATGCACTAGGTCATCCCTGTCTTGTCTCCTTACTTTTTATGGCATCCCTATATTCCACACTTTTTTAATTCGAAGAATTTTTATTTAATTGTCTCCTTTTCCTTTTTACTGCACTCACATGCATGGTGTGCATATAAAAAGGGGATATTTTTGGGCATAAGCCCATAAAAAAAGTACATTTGTGGCGTTAAGCTATCGCAGCAGACGTTTTGCATCATTCACATTACATCAGTGCACCAAGTTTCATTGTTAGAGGACCAACCATAAGCAAGTTATAGGCAGTGACACCATTTAAAAGTCTTTTTTGTCTGAGGCTGTTTGTTGTTGTTTACAACCTTGTAATTTCTGTTTCGATGAACCCTTATCATGGTACATCAGTGCACCAAGTTTCATTGTTAGAGGACCAACCATAAGCAAGTTCGAGGCACAAACACCATTTACAAGTTTTTATTGCCTGAGGCTGTTTGTTGCTGTTTACAAACTTGTAATGTTTACATTTTGTTACTAATGATGGGTTGTGTATGTGTACAATGTTTTGTCACTCTGGGTATTAGCTTTACCTAGTTAGCACAGTTTATTTGTCTCTATCATAATGTATTGCCTGGGGCTATTTTTGTTGTTTACATGTAAACAAAATAAATAAAAATGCTCTTGCACGACCTGTCATGGATTCCAATCTTTGTGCAAAGTTTCATCTCCATATCACTAAGTACGGTAGTACTTAGTATATAGGGATGACATCATCCTGCATTATGACATTTGAGATTTTCATGTTTCACATTCAGTTTCAATCAGATCCAACTTTTGACACATCACACTAATTTGTATTGTCACAAAGAGCATGTATCCAAGAAATGGCTTAAATCGCATAATTGGTATAATTACTTGATTTATTCAAGAAAGTTAGTTTTCAAAATTATTCTTCTTCTTCTTGTTCAGTTTAGACACGTGTATCTCAAAAACCACGTAAGATTTGTAGTTGAAACTTTGCACAGAGATTGCAATCCGTGACCTGTGTGCAAGAACATTATTAACAAGTACAACAAAAAATAGCCCCAGGCCACACATTATGATAGGGACCAATAAAGTGTGCTAACTAGGTAATGCTAATACCCACAACGATAACATTTTTTTCACATGTGCAACCCATCATTAGTATCAAAATGTAAACATTACAAATTTGTAAACAACAACAAACAGCCTCAGGCAATAAAAACTTGTAAAATGTGTTTGTACCTATAACTTGCTTATGCTGGGTCCTCTAACAATGAAACTTGGTACACTGATGTACCATGATAAGAGTTCATCGAAACATAAATTAAACAACAACAAACAGCCTCAGGCAATAAAAACTTGTAAAATGATGTTTATGTCTATAACATGCTTATGGTGGGTTCTCTAACAATGAAACTTGGTACACTGATGTACCATGATGAGAGTTCATCGAAACAGAAATTACAAGCTTGTAAACAACAACAAAACAGCCTCAGGCAATAAAACTTGTAAATGGTGTTTGTGCCTCTAACTAGCTTATGGTTGGTCCTCTAACAATGAACCTTTGTACACTGAATCACCATGATAAGAGTTCATCGAAACAGAACTTACAAGTTTTAACAACAACAAAAAGCCTCAGGCAATAAAAACTTATATATGGTGTTTGTGCCTATAAATTACTAGTGGTTGGTCCTCTAACAATGAAAACTTGGCACACTGATTCACCATGATAAAGAGAAACAGAAACTACAAGTTTGTAAACTACAACAAACAGCCTCAGGCAAAAAAATTGTAAAAAGTGTTTGTGCCTCTAACTTGCTTATGGTTGGTCCACTAACAATGAAACTTGGTACACTGATGACCTTGATAAGGGTTCATCGAAACAGAAATTACAAGGTTGTAAACAACAACAAACACCCTCAGGCAAAAAAGACTTAAATGCTTATGATGGGCCGTCTCACAATGAAACTTGGTGCACTGATGTAATGTGAATGATGCTGAGGCGATAGCTTAAGGCCACTAATGTCACTTTTTTATGGACTTATGCCCAAAAATACCCGATTTTTATTGCACACCATGCATGTGAATGCAGTAAAAAAAGGAAAGGAGACAAGTAAAGCAAAAATTCTTCGAATTAAAAAAAGTGTGGAATATAGGGATGCCATAAAAAGCAAGGAGACAAGACAGGGATGACCTAGTGAACATGATGCAGTAGTACAATGGTTGAAGACTACATACTTTGAACTGACATCTGTAAAATTTCCTCTGCACACAAGCTCTATATTGTCGTCACCATTACTGTCTGTTTCAACCATAAGCAAGTTAGAGGCTCAAACACCACTTACAAATTATTTTTTTATTGCCTGAGGCTGTTTGTTGTTGTTTACAAACTTGTAATGGTTACATTTTCATACTATGATGGGTTGCATGAGTGTGCAAAGTTTTATCATTCTCTACTCGTTACTGGTATTATACCATAATGTATGGCCTTCGGCTATTTTTTTTGGTTTACATGTTTACAAACAAATTGTAATGCTCTTGCACGACCTGTCAACAATTTTAATCTTTGTACAAAGTTTCATCCCCATATCTTACTTGGTGTTTTGAGATACACTTGTTGAAACTGAACTTTTTAAATAAATCAAGTATAATATATACCGATAAGTGATTTAAGCCATTTCTTGGATGCTCTTTGTGATGATACGGATCAGTCTGATGTGTAAAAATTTGGATCTGATTGAAGCCGAAAGTGAAACATGAAAATATCAAATGTATGGCCATAATGTAGGACAACCCATATACTAAGTACTACAATAAAACAATTCGTAATTAATTCATGCCTCAGAGGTGCGCTAAACCGGGTGAGCTAAGAGAGAGCTGATTATGCATATTGGCTTCGAACTTGTTACCTAACTACCAAGTTTAATTGTTAGAGGACCAACCACAAGTAATTTATAGGCACAAACACCATTAAATAGTTCTTATTGCCTGAGGCTGTTTGTTGTTGTTTACAAGCTTGTAATTTCTGTTTCGATGAACTCTCATCATAGTACATCAGTGTACCAAGTTTCATTGATAGAGGACCGACTATAAGCAAGTTATAGGCACAAGCATATTTTACAAGTGTTTATAGCCTGAGACTGTTTGTTGTTGTTTACAAACTTGTAATTTCTGTTTCGATGTACTCTCATCATGGTACATAAGTGTAGCAAGTTTCATTGTTAGAGGACCCACCATAAGCAAGTTATGGGGACAAACACATTCACAAGTTTTGTTGTTTACAAACTTGTAATGTTAACATTTTGATATTAATGATGGGTTGCATATGTGTGCTAACTTTCTGGGTATTTGCTCTACCTTGTTTATTGGTCTATATCATAATGTATGGCCTGGGGCTGTTTTTTGTTGTGTTTTGATGTTTACATGTAAACAACATTGTTTACAAAATTTCAATCCTGGGACACAGATTACAATATCTTAAGTGGTTTTGAGATAAGCGTGTCTAAACTGAACAACAACAAGAATTTTGAAAACTGACTTTTTGATAGTAAGTACCGATTGTGCGATTTAAGCCATTTCTTGGATACATGCTCTTTGTGATGATACGGATCAGTCTGATGTGTCAAAAGTTGGATCTGATTTAAACTACAAGTGAAACATGAAAATCTCAAATGTATGGGCATAATACAGGACAACCTGTGTCATCCCTTATTAACCCTCGGCGCGCATGCTCAGCGCGCGAGGGACGGTAGTTACTCTCGGCGCGCATGCGCAGCAAGGGTACTGTAGTTGGGTTTGTCTGTCCGTCTGTGTGTGTGTGTGTGTCTGTTACTCTACATCCCACCTCTCGAATATCTGTTCGTCCCAAAAAACGATACCATCTACCCAACGGGCGACAAAGGTCAGAAAATATGTGGGGTTTTCTCTGAAAATGCTCCGTTGCAGAGCTATAGCGCTTCCACCATTGTACGCCTAATGCCGGTAGTCGCCATTTTATCGCTGGCGGATGATACGCATGCGCTTATATTTAGCACAGGCTGACTTCGACCGGGTCCGCTTGCTCTGTCTATCTTGATGGCACAAGTATCGACTCTCGCGTGCTATCTACTACTGTAGCTAGCCCGTGTCAGACTTCTCTGCGAGCTACTTCGCCGAGGGTTTGCACTTTAGTGCTTTTCATTAACCCTCGGCGCGCATGCGCAGCGAGGGTACTGTAGTTGGGTGTGTGTGTGTGTGTCTGTTACTCTCAATCTCACTTCTCGAATGTCTGTTCGTCCCAGAAACGATCCCATCTACCCAACGGGCGACGAAGGTCAGAAAGTATGTGGGGTTTTCTCTGAAAATACTCCGTTGCAGAGCTAGAGCGCTTCCACCATTGTAGGCTAATGCCGGTAGTCGGCCATTTTATCGCTGCGGAAAATTTGCATGCGCTTATATCCTCGACGGGTCCGCTTGCTCTGTGTTCTTGAAGCACAGGCACATCGACGCGTGTATCGACTCTCACGTTCTATCTACTGTACTGTAGCT